CTGTGCGGCCGGTTTTCTGTGAGCTCAAGCCGGATAAACCGGCGACACCGTTGCAGGTCCAGAAGCCGAAACTGGTGGAGCTACCACTGCCACAAACGTCGTCTGATAATGGAAAAATTATGCTGCAGCCGAGGCTCTGTACACTTAGATCATATGGCGGTGGTGATTGTGTAAGTGTAATCAAGGCCAAGAATGATGATCAAGTTTCGCCTTTCTTCGCGACATTAACTGAATATATAGAGAGCTCCAAGAAGAGTCAGGACTTTGAGATCATCTCCGGTCGCCTTGCCATGGTAATTCTCCTTTTATTCCTTTTCATTTTTTAGTTATTTTTTACAAGTTTATGTTATTAAGACTCGATATTCCATTTAAAATGTTAATCTTATTAAGATGGGTGACACAAATTCTTATATATTGATCTATATTTGGGTAATTAATCGACGTCCATAAAATGGTAGCTTGAGTGAGCATACCAATATTAAAATTCGTGTGTTCGATTGAGTCCTAGTCGAATTAAATTGCTCGATATTATATTAAGACTTGAGGTTCCATCTTAAAAGATTAACGTTATTGAGAAGAGTAGCTAAAGTTGGTCTATATTTGAGTCGATATGGAATTTATCTTCCTCTTTTGCAGATGGTGTTTGCAGCAACAGTAAGCATAGAGATGGTGACTGGAAATTCTGTATTCAGAAAAATGGATTTGCAAGGTATTGAGGAAGCTGCAGGGGTATGCTTGGTGGCGGTGACGAGTGCGGCATTTATCGCCTGGTTATCGAGTGCACGTAAAGGGGTAGGTCGAATGTTTACTATCCGTTGCAATACGTTGATCGACTCACTTGTCGATCAAATCATCGACGGTTTATTTTATGAAGTTGACCCAAGTGATTGGTCTGATGATCAATTTTAGTAAATCAAATATGAATATTGAAGGAGTTGTAAATAGCAGTAGACTACATACGTTTGATCATCATAAGGTTATAATTTTAGTTTGGTACCCAATATTCGTGTTCATTACCACTCTGATTTCGATTTTCTTTTATCTTTCTTTCTTCTTTTGTTTTTTAGCAACTTTAATTTTTTGTGACAGAGATGTTCAAAAGAAGTATGTCACTTTTTCTTTTGTTCCTAGCAGAAAGGTTCGCAACCTATGTTCTTTTCTTGATTTTCGTTGTATGCGTGAAATCAGAAGTATTTGCTTTTCTTTAGAGAAATTGAAGGAGAGGTCTCAAACTTTTAAAATGTGTCGTCGGGTTCCGAATCTTTTATAATCTTAAAAATAATGTTACTTGTACGTAATGATTTATAATAATGGTTTAAATACAGATGAGATGTCAAAAACTCTTTTTCCATATACTTATTTTCAACTACACATTCACACAATAAAATACTCTAATGGTCCGTTTGATAGGTAAAGGTAGAAAGGAATTTCAATTCCATGTTAGTTGGAAAATAAAAATCCATTAAACCCATAGAAATTTGTTTTCCATGAAAACAAAGAAAATACAGTTTAAAGTGATTGTACCTTGAAATTTGATTTCCATTTTCACGTTGTAATCAAACGGTCAAAATGGAATTTGCAATCAATTTTTTTTCATACTTTTTAATCACAAAATTTTCAAAAAACCACTTATTAAAATAATGTTTTCCCAAAAATGACCACTAAACATGGACTAAATAAAAGAGTACTCGTTTCGAATCCTTGAACACCCAACGAGGGAGGGGAGGATTTCTCCCCCAGTTTTATGTACCAAAACTTGAGGTCACCAAACCAGAAGAAAATCTTGTTGGTTTTGTAAAAATTACACCATAGGTTTGAGTTGTGAAACCCGAGAAAGAAATTCCCCCTCTCCTCGGTGGTGATGACTGCGGTTAGGGCTCGACAAAAAACTAGTCTAATCGATAAATTGATCCGACCCAAATCAACTCGGGTCCATTTGGATCGATTTTTAAAAGTTTCGCGATTTGGATTAGTTGCTATATAACTCAAATCGAATTGGACCATCTTGAACCTACCCACACGTAATATTTATACTTCTATAACTTGCAAACTCGATATTTACATGGTACACTCGACTTTTCCATGACCAATAAATTGGAACTTGATGACGTGTTTTTGAAAGATTTGAAACGTCTGCTGCAAATTTCTCTCTTTTTTTTTTTTCATCTATCCTTTTTCTAAGAAAGAAAAGAAAAAGGAACAAGAAAACTGTTGATATATGGTGCAATTAAAAATATTCACCGGGTATGCTAATTGATAAATTATGCATATTTAACTTACCATTGTAAAATCACTCATAAATTTCAATAAAAAAAATTGTAGTGTACTATAAATTATTATATATTTTTTAATTAAATAAGTGATATTATATATTGTGGTCAAATCATATAGTAGAAGTAGAGAACCATAGGAATATTTAGTTATTACTTATGTTAAATATCAAATCAAAATTAGAGTATGGCGTGGTAGACTACATGATTGAAAAATAGAATCGACTTTTCTTGGAATGCAGCAGTCGATCAAATGGAATTGTAGATAAATATTAATTGAAATTCTAAATTCAAAGATTAATATGTACTCAATACTATTAAATTTTCAATTTTTTTTTTCGTTCAACATAATTAAAAGGGAAAATTGCAGTCGGGCTATCAAACCTTTCAGTTAGTTGTAGCCTATGTCCAAACCTTTTATTTTGTGTCAGCGGAGGTCACAAACGTTTCAAAAAATATGCATCGGAGGTCCAAATGGACGGTCCATCCATTTGACCGTTAGTTGATCAGAATAGTAAAATTTGACCAAATTTTAAAAGGACAAAATGATAACTTTCCTATTTATCCCCATAAAATAATTGAAGTAATAATTAAAAGAAAATAATACTGTTCATCTCCTTCTTCACCCCACCCCACCGAGCTTGTACAGCCATCAGAATCCACCAACCACCAACACGTCGTCGCCAACCACCAACATGACGTTGCACCTCCCACATCCACCAACAATGAAAATGGTTTGAGCCACCACAATGAAAATGCTCAACATTCCCTTAACAACCACCAACAATGAAAATGTTTTGAGCATTCAACAAGCTTTTCTGGCCCTTTTCAGTGATGTGTCGTAATGTTTTGAGCACACTATTCATCTCCTTCTTCGCCCCACCCGCCCCAAACAAAAAATTTGAAACTCAGCCACCATCTCCTTCTTCAACCCTCATCCCGCGCCGATTCACCACTAGTCACCAGTCATCTTGTACCTCCGTTGATCGGTGGGCTGACGGCGACACCATCTCCTTCTTCACCTCTCGAACCCAGTTCACCACTAAATCACCGATCAAGCTTAGAAACCTCTGCAAATTCAAATTCACAACCCCAACAATCAACGCCCACGCATAATCTATCAATCTGTTGAGAAACCTCTGCTGCTTGTTCGAACTTCTTTACCTCTACATTTCTCAGACGCACCCTTCATTAATCAATCCACAACAACAATAAACAAATCAATCCGATTTCATTCTCGAAAGAAAAAAAAAATCAATAACTAAATAAGCAAAATTACCATTTTCAGTGAATCCAAAGGGATGGTTTTTTATTCGACTATGAAGTCTTTTGATTCGACCTCACTAGATTTGGGTGGGTTTATTTTGGTTTGATTGTGGTGGTGGCGTTTTGGGGGATATTGGTGAGAGTGGGGTTGGGGAAGGAGATAGGGGGTGGTAGTGCCTGCCGGTTTTGTTTTGTTTTGTTTTTTTCT